ATCTCCTGACTTTGAAAGTTGAGGCCATCAAGCCGTCGTGGGTTTAGTGACTGTCCCACCACTCACTCCAGCAGTGGTACTTTGGGTAGTCTCACATGTTTCACTGCGCAGATACTGCCTAAAGTTTATAGTTTGTCAAAGTGACTAACTTTGCATTTCCACTATAAAAATTATTAGTTACTAGCTGGCAAATCCGGCTCCGTCCAGCCCTGTCATTATTATATTCGTAATCAGCATGCTCGATTACCCCCCTGTGCCAACTCCCAGCCCCGTAGCTCAAATTTTGCAAAAAATCGATAAAATCGATATCGATCGATAACGAAAAGTAGCCTATGACACGCTCCCTGCCCCGAAGTATATGTGTGCCAAGTTTGGTCCAAATCGGTTCAGAAATAAAAATTTCTATTCCGCACATACGTACAGACATACAGACAGACATACAGACATTCAGCATTATATATTGTAAATGACCTTATATAAGTATTTTCTGAAAGAGAATAATCTATTCTAACATCTATCAAAATAGGGAAGTTTGATCATTTTTTTGAGAAATCTACATTTATTCTCTAGGTGTCCCATTTTTTAGTGATTACCCTAATATAAGCATAGGTAAGGTTTCCTCACGTAAAAGCTTACAAAGTTTGATAAGATTACGGAAGGTCTGTGAAACGAAAACAATTTCGAAAAGTTCCTCTCTCTGGATGGCCTCCATCAATGAGACCAACTCACTCAGACGCTTCACTTTCAACAAGAAAAACAGATTCTCCCCAAGTAAGCGCTCTCAGAATAAATTTTCTCCTCTGATATTGCGAATATTCGGAGACCAATGCGTCACCTCTGCTTCGCAGAAGCTCGCACTGGTTTCACTATCTGTAAGCCTTACTTATTCCCGCCTGATAACGACATTGGAACTCGCCGCGCTATGTATGCTATCACGAATAATTCGTAAACAACTACTCATTCAAGGTTTTCCATGTGAGATCGGTATTTCCGCGTGGATAAAATCTTTCCCAGAAGAACAGATGCAGATTCTAATAGGTTTTTGGAATTTTTACGGCTTGTTAGTCGCCGTAAGGACAACAAACATAGTGGGCTACATCTCTGTGCAAAAATAATCTCAAATGATCAGGTAAAATCTAAAAAATTGACCGTTTACACAGCGAATGCTTTTTGGCGCTGTTTTCGTAGAGTAGTAGACTTTTCATTACTTTTTTAGGCTAACGTCCATGGCTTGCAAATTAGCTTGTCAAATATATCCCTAACTCTGCAAAAAGTAGTACTACGGACCCAAATTTGCTGGCCAGAATTAAGTGGATCCGTTTGACGCGCAACTTCCAATGGATCCACTCAACGGATCCGCTCATGCTTTTGTATAGTGAGCTTTCATGCTGATAGCGTGCGCTATGCCAAATTTGGGGCTCAGAACGTTGGCTGGAACACGCTCTACGAATTTCGTGACAGACAGATATTCACACACACACACACACACACACACACACACACACACACACACACACACACACACACACACACACACACACACACACACACACACACACACACACACACACACACACACACACACACACACACACACACACACACACACACACACACACACACACACACACACACACACACACACACACACACACACACACACACACACACACACACACACACACACACACACACACACACACACACACACACACACACACACACACACACACACACACACACACACACACACACACACACACACACACACACACACACACACACACACACACACACACACACACACACACACACACACACACACACACACGCGCGCGCACACACACACACACACACACACACACACACACACACACACACACACACACACACACACACACACACACACACACACACACACACACACACACACACACACACACACACACACACACACACACACACACACACACACACACACACACACACACACACACACACACACACACGCACACACACACACTCACACACACACACACACACACACACACACACACACACACACACACACACACACACAAACGTAAACAACCCTTAGCCCGTTATTATAAGCTATGATACCTCACTCCCCAGTAGTGAAATCTCCGAAAAGTAGGGTCTGCCACAAAAACAACGAGACCCTGTTGCTCTTATGATTTCCTTTTACACAAAATTTTATTTCCGATAAATGCTTTCAAATAAGTAATCAAAGCCGCAAATTAATCGCGAAACGAAGTGTTACCCACAATACTATATCGATATCGTAGATGAATCTAATTTTGGCTACAAAGCACCAATATCTAAATAGGTGCCCTAACTTCACGCGTACAGCCCGCCTTTTTCGATTTTTCGACTAAGCCTGTCAGCCGCTTTAAATTATTTCGGAAAAGGACCCTTATGCCGCATGATTCTCTTAAAGGCAGTGTCCGGGCAAGAACTCGATTTTGAGATTTTGTGCTACCCGGGCCTATTCGCTATGCTGAATCCGAAAATCCACATTGGAAAGCGCGAAAACGACGAAAAAGGGCTCTAACACTGGAGGGAAATAAGCAAGTGGGCGGGGTCCTCCCCACCGTGAATTCATGCTTCCAACTTCCAGAGCAATTTTCTCGAATCCGTTAGCCGCCCTGACATTACTACTGATCAAGTGCAAACGAATGACTTGAAAACGAAATCAAAAAGATCGCCCCCGAAGCTGGGAGCGTGAATTCGCAGTGGGGAAGACCCCGCCCACTTGCTGATTTCCCTCCAGTGTTAGAGCCCTTTTTCGTCGTTTTCGCGCTTTCTAATGTGTATTTTCGGATTCAGCATAGCGATTAGGCCCGGGTAAGCACAAAATCTCAAAATCGAGTTTTTGCCCGGACACTGCCTTTAAGCAATATACAGCAAGGCATAGGGTCCTTTGGTTGCGAAGTTCTTTGGCGTATTTGGGCTGGTCAATTTTGGAAAAAAATCCTGCGCGCCTCATACGCGTGAAATTAGGGTAGCTAAAACTCACTCCTGTTTTACTACTATTTACATTCCACCGTAGGATCCTTGAACTGAAGAAAGTTCAGTTTAGCTGGCAATCAGCGTGTTGTGCAACCACCAATAGCGGAACCTTGGTAAAATATGCGATCGTTATATTTCTAGCAATTTTCACAGGGATATAAATTTGTAAGCTCCTAACATTGCGATCGTTACATACAAGGTGTCACAGAAGTAAGTACACACTTTTCAATCGTTCATCTCTCTTCCGATCGTGTCTTTTTCTGCCGCTTAAGTACCATTCTGTAGAGTAGGCTTCAACTTAGATTTACTGTACAGTGCGAATCACCAATGGGTCTTCATTACTGCAGGATTACTGTAGGAACTTCGATAAAGATTTTGGGCCATTGAAAGCCATATTCTTTCTGCCTCGGACAAAACCAAAAAAGCCAAAAACTCTTACACTATGGTAATGTAAGTCGTTGATTTCAAATATGAAATTTTCCACTTTACTATGATGCTTCTTTCCAAAGTTATCTTAAGTAAACCTATTGACCGAATTCCCAGTATTTGTCAGAGATGTGATTACACCGTTAACAAAGTTGAAAACACTCGTAAAAACTTGTTTAGTGGATTCAGCTTGCGCGAAAACCCTAGTACACGATCTTTCAGGTTTTTTTCAAAAAAAATTTGTCAGATGGCAAATTTCACAATGGTTGCACATGCTGGAAGTTCTTACCGACAGCAATGAAGAGCGATCGGTGATTCGCTTAATACTGTCATTGGGAAGAGAGATATTGACGATTGAAAAGTGTGCACTTATTTTTGGGACATCCACTTTTCGATAGCGCGATCCCCATTCCCAACATGTACGCGAAAAGCGCAGACGGATTCACGATACGTTGTGATTCAACTACAGCCCCTCACTATATCTCTATTTAAACACCCTGTGTTCCCAATGATTTTTGTAGACAAAACCCCCAAAACCTCTTTGAGCAAAGCTTGCTCTCGCCCAGAAGTTGGCGAACTTCAGAGCGTAAAGCGTGTGAAAAAAGGGATGCGTGTATTTTCAAAACATTGTCTCTGGAGGTTATCTGACTTGTTAGTTAAAAATTCACTACCTAGCAAGATAGGTAAATAGTGTAAGATCACGATAAGCAGAACTTGGGAGCACATGATTTCTTCAGATTCACGAGCCCTTCTATTTCTTTCAGAAAGTAGTCTCCTTATGCTTTATTGCGCACGATAATCTAAGAAAACCTTCTATCGAAAAGTGCTTACTATCATTTCTATGTGTGATGTACTTTGTGTCACACCCATGAACAGACGTCTTTAGAAAAATGCGAAAATTGAAAATAGAATATCACTGACACGCAGTACATAAAAAATTGGCTTGATCAACTGAGATGCTTCTTCTGAACTCAGAATATAGCTGAAGAAATTTATGACTGTGATAGTTTGCATTTCGGGTGATTTTGAGAAATTCACAGAATTCACAGAATGTGGCGCGATCACCCAAATGCCTCGGAATGATGCAACAGTTTTGGAGATCTTGCATGTTCTGTGAGCGATTTTTGTTTGTTTGGGACACTACGGATAGCAAACCAAATCAGCAACATCAGCATTTGCTGTGACTGGATAAAACATTACCGACTATAACTTTTCCCCCTACCTGCTTAGCTTTTTTTTCACGATATATCGTATAGTGAACTTATTAGCAATTTTGACTTACAAACTTCTGTTTCAACGGATCTTCACCAGTGCTGCTTCCTCGAATTCGAATTCTACGAAACCAGATTTCTTGTTTTCTTGTAATTTTTCCTATAATAAGTGAATTTGAAGAGATTTCCGTCGAATTGGAATCATTTTCTTAACATTTAAGTAGTACATATGCACAAAACCCTCTCTAAGTTGCAATGACTTTATGCACAAAACGTTTTGCCAGAATATGCTATGCTATAATTACGGACAGCATTCGATCAAATTATTTGCAGTTTCGCTCTTGTGAAAATATCGGCGCAATTTGAATCGAGCTTTCTCGTGTATTTTGCTATTGGAAAAATCGGTTCTACACTGTCTGTTGTGTGCCTAGCATTTTCGCTGTTTGCGCTCACGTTCTTCAGGTACGTTCCAGCTTACTCTGTCATCGCAGAATTTTTCATTCTCAACACATTTTAGATCTCTTCACAATGTACGGAATACAGTTCATTGCAATCTGTGCTTCAGCCTGCTTGTTGATTATCTTGTAAATTTGATACGTGAGTGGTACGATGATCTTATCAAACTGTTGCGCATACGTGTTACCACTTTTGCAGAAACACTCTACTTTCACCAATTCAATGTATTAGGTCTTTTCATAGTACAGCAATTTTCGTAAACTAACGAAGTGGAATTTTAAAATAAGTCATTAATGTTTTGTGTTGCGCATAATTTTTTGCTACCTTGCCGTCGTATTTTTGGTAAGAACGCAAAAGCTCATAGAATCTGGTCTCAAAAACTCGTCTGATCAGCGCTTGAAATCGCTTTCAGAATCAAAGCAAACGTCGCTCTCGTAATATGCGGTTGTCCAAAGCAGATTGTAATTTTTAGAGTGAGATCTCAGCAGTTTTTTAGATGCTAATTTACTTCTGGTCAAATATCGTTCCAGACGGTTTTGACGATGTTTGCAGTAAAAAGCCATAATTTGTCGCGCAGAAAACTTTGAACCGAACCTGTCTATTGGGTTTTTTTCTGCAGTATGTCTTCCTTCAGAGATGCAGTTGAGTTGCGCAGGGTATGTTTCATATGCAATAAGTTCGCTCACCTCTTATGAAGAATATGCGCATCTTGCCGCCCCGCTCCCTCAAGAAATAAGGATGAGGAGAGCTCAGCAAAATCATGAAACGACCT